AGGGAGGTGCAAGGTGGGCTCCATGCTGGACAGGTGAAGACTGACTCTCAGGCTGTTTTTCTTCTCCCTCTTCTTCCCTTCTCATCCCTAATTCCCAGCCTAATGGGTGTATATATTTAGCTAACTACATTCCAGTCCTGCACACTGACTCCTGTGTGTTAGTTCTGAACTTCAGATCTACGTTAAAATAGTTGTTAACTGGAATGACCAACTGGAAAGACTTGATAAGGGCGATAAATCTTTTCATACTTTTATATCTGTGCCCCTAAGAGCCATTCCTTGGAGTGGAGGAGAAAAAAGACAGGGTGAGTATTGTTAAGGGCTAAAGGATTGCTTGTAGCCTTTAAAAAGTGACTTTGGGGTGTACATAGAGCAGAGGGGCAGATTAAGTCTGGAGGGACTGAAGGACCAGACAGAAGCGATGAAGGTGGTGTTGTTTGCTCCAAAGTATTTTTCTTAAGTGAGCCACAGACGTTCAGTACCTCCTCAAGAAGCACAGCCGAATGAAACCTCGAGGAGGAGGGAAAAGGAGAGCACTCAGTACTAGGAGTATTCTCTAAAAGAAAAGAATAAACAGGCTTTCCTGTTCCCTGTGGAAAAGGCATAGGACAGTTCGGTGTTTATGAGGAGAGACGAGGAGACAGGCGGCCACCAGATGCCGCTGCAGGACGGACAGCGGCTGCCCTTGGCCGGCCAGCGCCCCTCTCGCCTCCAGAGCGCCGGGAGAGGCGAGCCCACTCTGCACACACCAAAGCCTGCCTGCAGAACAAGGCCGTGGGGTTGTGCTGCTGTTAAGAGAACTACCATAAATAAAGACACCTCTGCAACACTGCTCTTGAATATGGAGAAGAAACTGGCAGCCAGTAAATCACAGCTTTTTCATTTGGAAAAAAAATGCCATCCACAAGTCTGATCGTTCTAACCCCTTTTCTTTAAAGGCTGCAATTAGATGCTCACTTGTCCGAAAATTTTCTCTAAAGGCAGCCTTTCCCCTCCCTTCACCTGTTTAAATACATTGTCCCAAGAGTGGTCAAGAATTGTGGCTCGTGTAGAAATAACTAAACAAATGCACGGGGCAGAAGTTCCTGGGCCAGTAAGCCAAGACTTCTGTCACAAGGCAGCCCTCAATCAAACCTGACAAAGCCCTGGTTTAGGAACTACTGTATCTTGATGCCCTTTGCCCATTCATCAAGTTGGCCTGACATCAAATTTAATCCAGCAGCTCAGTAGCTGAAAACCATTTAAAAACCGAGGGCAAATCAGCATTTTGATTAGCATCATTCAGCCCTCTCTGCCCCACAAGATAAACTACCTGCGTATGTGATGGGTCTGACAGCAGCAGGTAAAATAATGAAGCACGTGCCTGTTTCCAGTACTCATGCACTCCTCCAAGAGGGGTAAAATAATGAAAACCTAAACCACAGCCCGAGGTAAAAGGCACGAACAGCTGCAAGCCTTATCCAAAGACGTTTCAAGCAATATAAACGGGCTCTGTTCCTGTATTAAACAATAACAGGGTTTATTGCAGTGGTTTTGGCAGAGTTTCATCTCTTGTTATAAGCACTCCAGGTCTCACAGCTGCACCAACTTGAAAATGAAAGCTGAATCAGGTCTCAGTGTTTTCTCCTCCAACACAGGCTCAGGACAATGTTAATCACCTGAAGAAACAAAAATATTTGGACAAGCCAGACTCTGACAATTTAGGCTACTTGAGGATGGTGTCAAGCCTGTCTTTAGCTCAAGTAATTTCATTAAGTACTCCCCCGATTCAGCTTCCCCTTCAAGTTAAACACAATGCTTTCATGCTTGGGTCTCAAAATCAAGTTCTGCTAAGATTTCAGGGTGCTGCTTATTTTAGCAAAACTTGTTTTACTTGGCCTAGATTTCCCCCGTCTTCCACGATTTACTTTCAGTAATTGTATGATTTGTACAAAAACCTGTTACGAAAATATGCAAAGTGCAAATCACACATAAAACCCCACCACATGCCAGTTTAGACAGTCATAGTAGATGTATAGGCTTTTTGTGAGTTAAGGTTTATCTGAAACTGTCAGAGAACATCAACAAGTGCAAAACTGAGATCAGCTCTGTTACAGAAGGTACAGGGCTAGAAACTCTGCTGACCCTGTTGGAAGAACTCCTTTAAGCAGCACTCCGGTTTTACCCCTTTCCAATCCATCCTGACTTTGTCAGGGAGAATGCTGACAGAAGGTGGGATACGTGAAGGAAAATACTGTACATACAACACGTGGCAATGGCACAATCCAAAACCCGTTTAATTACAGACACCATTGACTTGGTGCGCTTTGCACCTGGCCCTGAGCTCCTGTTACACAGGACCATGGGTCGTGAGAGGTCAGATTTCACACCTGTCTTCCCTTTAAAGCATCACCAACAAAACACTTTCCCTTCACAAAGTCACTCTGAACATTTTGTGCATATTTTATAGCAAACATAAGAAGGGTTACCAAACCAAATGCTCAGATTAATAAAATAATAACCTTAGTGGTGTATTACAAAAGAAATGTGCAAGAGTTCCTCCTAAATCAAACTACAATACTTAGCATTAATGGAAATATTTTTAAGCACTTTCTAATAATTTTGCCATTTTCCAGTTAAGACAAGTATCAGGAAACCTTAAGGCAAAAACGCTTCTTTTTGCACATAACAGGCTCTTAAACAGTTTCTCCCTAACATAACGTGCACACAACAGCATATTGTCAATTTAAAAAAATATTTAATGCTGCCAAAAAGTATAAAAATACAATAAGAATGGCAGTACAAAACAAAATATTTCCTAATTTATTTCTTTTACATCTTTCTACATTAATACAGGCATTATAAAAAACACAAGATGGCAAATTATTTCGTTTTGCAAAGTAGCACTCGCTGCTGGTGGTCTTCATCCCCTCGGTGCAGTTTACGCTGTAAACAGATAACTGAGGTCTTCTTGGTACTTAACAGACCTCACTTTTTGTTCCCGAAGAGGGGGCTCATGTCTCGCTTTGCATGTCAATAATTTGCAGTTTATAGCTGCAGAATATTCACAAGTCTCGAAGGCTTAGGTGTCAGTCAGTCTCGGCCTGCGACATACAACCAAAAGAAAGTCACCGATTCAGTACAGAGTAGGGGGGGAAAAAAACAATAACAACAAAAAAAAAGAACTGTTAAGAACCAGCAGCAGGTTTGCAGCCTGCTGTCAATACCAAACAGCTTCTCATGTGCATTCCCTGGAGCAACTACTGCCTCAGAGCAAGTACTCTTGCAAAGCTGCTGCTTTTCCAGAAGGTATTTCCATGTGACAGTATACGGCACATCCTTGCTGGAGATTTTCAAGTACAGGTCTCAGTCCAGCAAACCCCTTCCTGACACATTTAACCCCAAGCACTGTAGGAGTCTCCTTGGGCCTCAGTGGGATTATGGCAGGCTGCATCTCAAAACACACCACCTCTCACGGCTTTGTAGGCCAGCCCTGGCACAGCAGCACGGAAATAACTGTTTACAGGCAAAGGTTTCCTGCAGAGAGGAGGACATCCCAGCACTGGACAGTCCGCTCTTAGGCAAGGTAAGTATCTACTGCGAGGAACACAAAGACACCTTGGTGTTCACAGCACCACACCCCCAAGCTACTACAAGCAACACACGTCTGAGTTCTGCGAGCGCTACACTGATTCGTAAAGCAGCTTTCCTCGATCAGCTATGACACACTGAAAAAGGGCTTCCAAGTACTTATCCTTCCAATTTAAATAAAGACTCAGACAGAGATGCAATTTTGAACACATTTATTTTTCGTACATAAAAATGAAAGACTGACTTAAAACTTCAGGGGCAAACAAAAAAAGCCCAGGAAGACTACTGTGTGTTACGTCAACTTTGCAAATACCGTCCTCTGGTTTAAGCCACCCGGCCAATGCAGAAGACTTCCTCTTTTGCCACCGTTAATATACTTTCTCGTGCAGTCCTCAAGTGTCTCAGGTTTTACTATAATGCCAAACAGCAAACTAAATAATTTGGTTTACATTCATTAAACATAAAGCTAGCCAGGCTTTTTAATTGCCTGCATGATCCAGTCACACATACATGCATACACATTTATGCCTCTTCCCTTTTCAGAGGGATATAAACTGATGTCAGTAAACCATTTTACTCGAGGTTTAACAGAATAAGCTAAGTTTCACTTGCAACATCTCACTTCCATAAAATAAATCCATAGGTTTTTTTAAATTGCTATTTCACACTGAATTAAATTATTTTACTTAATACATTTCAAGGAAAATACAGATGTACCGTCACTCTAAGTGGACTGTCCCTGCACCAAGAACATAAACAGGAAACCTAAAGAACTAATTCCAACTCTGCAAACTCCTTGCAATGGAGATCCAGATGTTTGCTAGGTATTTTTTTTATGAAAACGTGCATAATTTGTACATGAGTGTTCATCTGAGAGTCAAACTGTTTTATCAAATTCAAGAGATGCCCACTATGCATCAAATATTATGACTGATGCATTTCCAGAATACAGGGGAAAACCAAACACAGTAACCCTTCGAACCAAGCCCAACAATGTTTTAGAAGTAGCACAGGACCAGCCAGCAGCTTGCCAGAAACCAGGGTGGAGAGAGGTAGGAGAGGGGTCAGAAGGCACATCCTTTAATTTCACCCTTTAATCATTTCCTATTACAGGGGTGCCTGGGATCAACAGTTCTTCATTTTGACCAATAGTTGTTCCTATTTAACATCCAAGTTGTGCAAAACTGCTGCAAATTTAAATCCCACAGAATAACAAAGTATCACAAGGGCTTAGTGTGCAGCAAGAACAAGTGTCTTCCAGATTTTGGATTTTAAGGATTAGTGCTGGACTAGGAGGAAGACTTTTATCCAAATTATTTCCTGGAATGTACTAAGAGACCTGTTGTTTGCTTGTCTTTCCTATTTTCACACTGCCATGAACAATTCACTGTTCAAAGTAGTTTTATCCAGGACTTTTATCAGTTCATCCTCCTTAAACTATTAACAGTTAAAACTCCCAAGGTACTTGCAATCACAGAATCCAACTAAACTTTTACAGAACAACTGCTGAATGTGCAAGTCCTGCTTTATTGCATCAAGAAGGTAAGAGAATGTGAGGAGATGCAAGATGGCCACCTCCTGCCCTGTTCCACCCTGAAATGAGGAATGCTTGCTGAGGATCAACAAAACTGAAAAGCCAGAATTTGGAAGATGGAATCAGGAAAAAACTCCAGTGACAACTTGACAAGTTGCAGTCAGAGCTCAGTGCCTGTAGAATACTGGTGGCCCAGGAAATCCTTCTCATGCCAAGAGAAGGGAAATCAGTGACAGTGTGGTATCAGTGAAGGTTTCGCCTGCACTTTTTCCTTAGCTGCTTTTAAGTATTTAGAATAAAATTTGGAATATTTCTGTTACAAAAGCATTTAATTACATTCCATGTATTTTTCCATAACCAAAATATCTTTATAAGGCACATACATTTACACCTACTAACAGTTACAGCTGATACTGAAAAACCTGTCTTCTCAATTTAAAGAACAAAAAAAAAATCTTCTGACAGTCTTGTTGGCTAAAAGTTATAAAAACGGTGAAACATCTTGAAATATGTGAGCTGCCTGCCTACACTGTGTCAAAGCAGTCAGCAAGTCATTTTGCTGTTAGGGCTGCACGTTTGGTCAGCAATGCCACGGAACAAATTGTCTTGTTCTGCTGACGCACAATTTCCCGAATTGAGAACTGCATGAAACTGCACTTGTTTTCCTGATCTGGACCCTTTAGCATTTGTTTACTATATAAACAGTGTGGTCCAAAACAGTATTAGCTATTGCGAAATGAGAATTTCAAAGAGTAAACTGTACTTAGCTTTGTGTAGTAAATGTCAAAGTAACTGGGCCCTGTGCCTCCTATGTTACTAAAAAGCTTGGATGTTCTGGAAAACTTTCAAGTTAATTCCTTTGAATAAGGAACAAAGTAACCATCCAGCTCTTTTGGTATTTTTCAGCAATAAATCCAGGAAGCAATTAACAAAATGGGAGGGGGGGGGGAAGAAAACTCCCAAAACCTCACACCCAACAGAAAGCAACCAAGCTTAGAAAACAGAAGGAGAAAACATAACTTCTCTGAAGTCACCCAACAAGGCAATGCTTGAATAAATAAAATCCATATATCAAAGTACAATCCAATTCTACAAATTATTAGGTCTCAACTGGAACAAAAAGCTACATACAGCCACATACCATCTGGATTGGAAGATAATTTAAAGGGCAGAAAGCGATTTGTGCTGAATTAGTATTTAGGAAGTGTTATCACCCAAGGAACGGAAAGGGAGTGCTCGATAATTTTAAAGGGGCTGTAGCACATGTATTCCCAAAATATTAGTCATCAAGTGTTTTACCACCATGTCTCTAATACAGTGCTGGAGAAACTGAAAAGCAGTTCTAGACTTTGTGAAGCCACCCAAGTGGCTCGTACAGGCAAACAAACTGGGTATGGCAGAACACTACCAACATTTCTTTCCTACTAAAGCCACCCTTGCAAGTCCAACTATAGTTTCCTTTGATGTGCTTTTTTACACCTATCACTGATGAACGAATTTTATTCTTTCTAGCAATTAAAATCTATAGACACACGAAGCATTATGTCTCACATTTAATGGAATGTCAGAACTTGAAATGTTGGCTTTCAAACAGTAGCTGAAGTCTGAATACATTAACTAAGGGGACTAAGTTGTCAAAAGTCTTAAAAAAAATTTCTATGCCTTACTTAAATAGTGAAAACTACAAAAAATAAATAAGGAATGCAAATTAACAGAGTAGAAATTGGCAAGTGCTTCATCAGACCCCTAGCTGCTCATTTCAAACTGAAGAGACAAAATACGGGGAATGGTTGCACTGTTCTTTGCATGCACAAATTATAATTACATTTAGTTTCAAAATGAAATTCTTTTGGTCAGAAATTTGTACAAACTGAGCTTTTAAAAGTACAGTGAACTACAAAAAGATTAAATATGCAATTATAAAATATATTTATCCTAGGTTGTAAGAATATAAAATGTTTAAGTTCATGTCACTAGTACATTACACATATTTAAGGATAACTTCTTTGCATTAATAATGTAAATGATACAACATTGTTTATTGCTTATGTCAGGCATGTAAATTTAAATCCAGACAGCCTTCAGTAGCTAAACCTCCATGGTTCAGCTTTGTTTAAGATCTCGTAGAATACCATTTTAAAAAGTGTATAAACAGTTGCAGCAAGTTTGTACCTGCTCATATAAACAAAAACCATCAGCTCTGTTGGGGGGCAGCGGTTCATTTTGTCAGTACCTGCAGTGGAAAGTCCTGAGATGTCAACATGGGATCAAGTTTACATCACTTCTCTATTGTATGTAACAGTCTGTACCCATTCCAGGAGTAAGGAATTTACTGCCTAAAGTCACACCCCTAGTCATTAACTTGCAGCAAAATTAGCTGTTGGAGCAGTCACGCTTACTGTTTACTTACAAGGAATGTTCTTGAAAATACATTTTCCAGAAAGAATAAGCACCAACTAAAATCAGTGTACCAAACCCAATCTTAGTGAGAATAGGTTTCCAATATAACCACCTTTTTCTTTTTCTTTCAGTCTCATTTAGCTTCTGCTTCATCTGCTGCAGCTTCTGTGCTGTGTTTGCTTTTCTATCCTCCCGCAGTCGTTTTCGGACAGAACTGGAAGAGAAAAAAAAAAAGTAAATCTTACACTGTAGACCAGGAAAAGAAGCTATGACAATATTAAAGCAAATCTCTTTCTAACACACTCCCTATAGTTAACCCACCATTACCATAAATTAGCAGTATATATAATTCAAGTCAAGCAATCTTTTATTATGTTTTAACCACCTTGATGTGGAGAGTTTCAGATCAGTGAAGCCCCATGAAGTAAGTAAATGACAGATGTAAAGATGTACACAGCACCTGACCTATGTTGTTCAACAAAGAACAGATGGAATCAGCTACATTATCTGAGCTTAGACTTTCACCCCTGTCTGTGTCCCATTTGGTGGCAGAGATGTTTTAATGGAGGCTGGTTTTGTATGCAATGTCACATACTACGTGCAAACATTCACAGTATGTACGTGGGTCCCTCCACTACAGAGTTCACACCAGCCTCAATGATCCAAACCTACCCACACCTGCATGCAGGTTTAATAATAACTCATCTCAGGCTGTGAACTAGATTTGATAAAGGACACAAGCTGAAAACCCAGTTCTGTGTGTTGTTACACTGTTAGGGCCACCTTCTAAGTCTTGTCTCCAAAAGCACTCTCACAATCTGTAAGACATCCATGACTATGACACAAAAACCCCCTTTGATGCTTCAAGTCCTAGTGCACAACCACCACACTCACAGCCACGCCCCGCCTGCGAGAAGTTCCTTCAAATATCCACAGAATTGCTGTCATTCTCTCTCAAAAGCACTCATGAAGACATGGAAAGGCAAACCCACCAGGGCATTTAGTGAGCCAGAAGCTACTTCAGAATTCTGGCCTATCCACACTGCACTGCTGTGTTTTGTCTCAGGCTGCCGCCCTCTGGGACAGACACGGCCTCCTGCCATGCACCACATGGCTCAGCTCAGCACAGCCCTGACTGGTTTCTGGATCTCTGGTTTAGGATCAACATTTGGTGACCCCCATGTGGGCAGGCCCCAGTGACACAGTGCCTCCCAGCTGAGGTATTAGTCTTGCGAGGCAGAGACACTTGAAGGATAAAGACAAATTCACCTGACACAGCTAAACCACAGAAAACCATTCACAGTGGTAGATTTAACATGAACTTGTGGCTCCAAAGATACAATTTCAACCACTATACAGGAAGTGGTAGGTGATAAAGCCTTTGTGTTTATGAGGTACCATGGATTTTTGAAAACAGAAGTTAGCATTGTATTTAAAAATCAGTATCAAATTATTTTTGGCCATTTTAGGACCTAATTCACACTACACAATGGAGTTCACTGACAGTCTGCAAGAAAACGCTTTCAAGCATGAAGTTTAGCTGCATCAATCAGAGACATTTTCTTCTCTTGACCTTGCAACAGTAAAACTCTATCACAAGGAATAATTGAGGTTGCATTTTTTAAATAATTAAATAAGACAGTCAAATACCACCTCTCCTTCCTCTCTACTGAAGAAAGATCTTGAAGTTTTCTTATAATAAGAAATAGGCCTTTTGAGAGAGTGTATCTCCTTCTAAACGTTTTCTTCATCTTGCCTACCTTTCAATGTTCCCATCTGTGATATCTTGAACTTTAGTGGACAGGTCAGTGTTTACTTTCTCCATCTGATCTTTGTTCTCCAGGCCTATGCTGTTCCCATTGTACTTCTCTGTGGTTATTTTAGTTGGGTGTGGAGGAGACTGCTCGGAATGTGGCGCTTGGTCCTCCTTAGAGAGCTCCTTCCACCGTTTCTGCAAACAAGGAGAACATATTTCAAACATTCCCCTAACACTAAAGACACCTCTTGCTCAAGATGTCTTCAAAAAGAACAGTCACGAAAGTAGATTTAAAGGAACTACCAGATCAAGAAAAAAAAATTGGTAGATAAAGAAATAAAGTTAGGGGAAGATGCAGTTTCTCCAACAACGATCAATGATCCTTTTTTTCTATTTCTCCAGAATGATGCTACTAAGGTGGCATAAGGCCACTAACTCTAGGGTTTGTATTGTCCACAGTAGCTCCACAATTAGGAAGCAACCTGTCTTGTATCATCCGGCACCGTCCAACACTTTCCATCTCCCTCTACTCACTACAGGCCTACACTGTGCTGTTACCTTTCACAGCTTCAAAATACAACAGGGCCTTGTATGCAAGAACTGCCTAAAAAGAGAGAACTGGGAAAATTTCACTAGATTTATTTATGCCAGTCACAGACTACTATTTCACCTAGTGTCCCACTAGCCCAGAGATCTGCTGCATCATAGAACAGTTATTCACCTTGTTCTGAGAAGTAATTCAAAACAAGATGGAAAAAAAAAATTGGAAGCAAACCTGGTTTGTTAGATCTCTGCCCTAATAGCTAACTGTCCTAATGATGAATAGTCTGAAGGACTTGATGCAATAAAACTTCATGCAGAAAAAACCTCTAGAAATTCACAGGAAGGAAAAGAATTGTCCCTAAAAATCCATAATTTCTTTTCTCACACAAATCATTCAGTGCCTATAAAGACATAGAATACCTTGTAGAAAAAAAAAATCAGTTTTAAAAGGGAGGATGAACTGAAAATTGACTCTTCTCAAATCTAAGCGATAGATTTCTATCTGCAGCATGAATTCAAGACTGATGGTCCAAACTAAATATCAGACTCAGAGAGTGATATAGAAAAGCCAGCCACTTATAAACAGACTGCTGGCAGAATGAGTTTTAACAATGAACTGACTCCTCCATTGCAAAGAAGTTTTCAGTATAGATCTGAAATTCACAGAGGGACTAGTCTTGACCCAAAAAATTCTTCATTCTCAGAGGTTTTCTTTGTTTTGTCTCAAAAAAACTAACAAATAAAAAAGAAGCAGCCATTGACAACTAGAAATCCACTTAGCAGCTCCCTCTTACTGTCATAGAAAAAGGCCCTTTGGAAGATGTTTGTGTCCACAACAGACTTGGTGGCTAAGACAAATACTGATTACACCTGGAGTGATAAAGCCACACAGGAAGAACTGAAATCAGAGACAACTTCACTGCTCTTGTCATACAGAAAGAAATTTCTCACCAAGAACTCTATTCTAAACATGTAATAACAATTGCTGAAATGGCTGGTAATTCCAAGTTTAAACGTGTATGACAAGACTGCATGAATGGCAGGACCAATTAAATAATGCACAACCTTAAGCAGACAGACTGCATGCATGTTGCAGTTGCAGCCACTAGCTGGCAGCAAGTTAAGGTTGTGTTTCCATACCGACTTCCAAAACCCATGGCTGTGTCAGAGATGAACATTTGGCTGATGTTATAATAGACAAGCAGTCAATAACTTCATGCCCTCCCCATCATTAGCAGAGAGAACTGAATACCTCTCATGCTCTGGAGAGTACAACTGTTCCATTCAGGGGTAAAAAAAAAGCCTATCTGACCTTGAAAGGAGAAACACTCCTTTTAAATACTGCCAATTGATTTTCTGCACATGACCCTGAGGCCCAAAGAGAAAACACTAGGACAAATGCCTGCAATGCAGGAAACACTGGTTTAAGAAAGATCATCTGAACAATCATAACAAGAAAAGGAGCCCAAACGAGAAGTGTGCCTTCTCAGGCATTCTCTCACTATGAAGAAATAACACACCTGAACCTGACTGCTCCCTTGTATCCAGAGATGAGAAATCCTGTGATCTAGACAGGTAAGTGGGGGAACCCAAGCTGCTCACAGTGTGGAGCGTGGCTTTGTAAGAAACAAAGCAGAAGAATACTACTAGGATGAATCATGAAGTCTTCTGAGCATATGGCACAGGTGTCAAGACCAGCAGCACACTGTTCCAGGTGCTGATCAGCAGTTGGGCAAAATTATTTCTCACAAGTCAAAGAACATTTGTTAAAGAGAAGAATCAAACTACTACCAGAACCACAGAGGAGAGAGAATGTGTTTTAGCTTATCTGCTCTACTTGTGATTTTAAGAAATCAACAAAATAAGAAAGCAGAATTAAGTCAGCTTTGAAGCCTCTCCTCCCAGTCTTCCCTCCCACCCAGCCCCCGCCACTTAACACAGCTGTAGCTACTGTTATCCCTGCAAGCCACTCTGATGAAACAGTGAGACTAGTAATCTTTTTGCCCCAAAACTCATTATATTTGGCTAGATTCTACTAAATGTAGATTCTGAGGGACATGAAAAAACACGTGTCAGTAATAAACATTATCTGTGGCATCAGGCAACTTTTCTGTTGGGAAAATACATAGCAAAGATCAAGAAATTCTAAAAAAGACCTTTGCTATCTTCAAAGTAGTACTGGTCAGTGCTTTTGCTTTTTAGTATTGAAGATACAGATTGAACCTTCTTTTTCTAAACATTTACACGGACCAATTATTTTTATATTTTATCGAAAAGGGGACATATAATAGGATTAGAAGTTTAGTTCACAGAAGGCACTGAACAGATACCCTCTGATACCTCCTAGGCATCTATTGAAAAAGGCTAATTATTTAAATTCCACAAAGTTACATGTCTTAAAATAATTTGGAGCTCATTTTTTACTACTGTTGCAGTCTGCTGTTTCAATACATAGAGCTAAACGTTTACCTGTATAGTTGAATCCCCCATTATAAATTTTGCTCCTTCTATTACAGCCATATATGAAAATCTTAGTTGATCAGGAGTCTGAATAAGTCCCATTCGATATTTTCTCATATCCAGTAATACCTTCTTAATATCTACAGAATATGGGTCCTTTTTTTCCATCTGTAAAGAAAGTTACATTGAAAGTATCAATGGTATATAAAAAATAATTACAAGTAAAAGTCATAAAATTCAATTTAAAAATTAATTTCTTCATATTATGCTTATATTGATTATATAGGAAATTACCCAATCAAATGATTTCTAGTTTTTTTTTACAGAAAAAATGCAAACCATCTAATGAAAACTTACTATGAACAAATCAATGATCTTGTATAAACCAAATAAATTAGTACCCTAATATCAAGTTTTAAAATTAAGAAATTTTGGGTATGCTTGGTTTTATTCAGGCATGTAATGGAACTCTGAAATAAGACTATAAGAATCAGAACCATAAAATAGTATTTCCTGCTGCTCCTGAATGGAACAGCAATTTAGACTGACTGAATGTGGCAGAAGTTTCCTTATTCAAAGCAGAATCCCTAATCCGAACAATGCACACACTTCTCTCTACATTACATTCATGGCATGTTTTTAAACATGTGTCTGCACTTCTTTCAATGCTTAGTTTAAATCATCTAATATCAAAGCATATTTGCATCAAAATATACCCGTCCTTCAAAATGCATTAAAAAAATAAGAAAAAAACCCCAAAAAATAAATTGAGAGGATCTAACCAAACCAGGAGACAAGTCTTTTGTAATTTAAATGAAATCCTATTTCACCTAACTAACCCTGTGTTGTCCTTTTCACTATTACCAAGCACAGACAAATAAAAAGTCTGTGCCTGGACTTCAAAATCCAACGAAATTTTAAAGCAATTTTAAATATTATTATATTATTTAACATTTAAAGTTCACTTATGTCATGAGCAATTTTGATGATGCAGCTCACTGAGCAAACAAAATCTATACATCCATGCGACACTGCAGTTGGCTACCAAGCCCCATCCCCCAGAGGGCTGCACAGGAAGGGAAGTCCCACACCACCCTTCACTACACACTGCAGGAGATCCAGGGACATGCCCAAATTCTCACGATAGTTCCAATAACAATTCTCTACACTCTTAACAAAAGGGGCCTGTGAGACTTACAGATTCAGTTATCTCCAATATATATTCACAAGCTTAACTTAAAACTTATATTAAAATAACCAACCCATCCTCAACCTTTTCTAAGCATATCTTACACAGAAGGAAAAGAATGTTTACTATTCACTTTCCAAGAAGCTTTGAAAATATGTAATGTACTTGAAGACGGATTTGTAAATGCATTTCAAGAACTGCGTTTTTAAATCATCAATACATGGGGAGAAAAAGAAAGCACGACGTCTTAATTACAGTTTCCACTGGCATGTCATTAACTTCAATGCTTTTAAAGCCTTCTGACCAAAAAGCCCACATTGGGAAGGGAGGCAGGGTGTCCGGAGAAGGGAAGAGGTGACAGCAAATAAGCAAACACTTACCAGAACCAGACAAGTGTCTACTAAGGAAAATGTGCCAGAACGTCCTATCCCTGCACTGCAGTGCACTACTGCAGGCCCGTGTTCGGGACTCAGTGAACCAGACTCTCTCACTTTAAACAGGAAGTTCAGGAATGAAGCTGGGGATTCAGGAACTCCGAAGTCTGGCCACGTGGTATAATGAAAATGAGAGATCATCCTGGACTCACCACTCTAGAGGTGAAAACAAATAAAAAATACAACTTAGAAGTACTCCTCTTTTGTTCAGTTAGCACATATTTCCCTAATCTAAATCAGTAGCTGTTTTCTATTTTCAAACTCCCATTTAGATAAACCACCCCTTCAAGTTGGATGACAACCAACAGTGCAAGCTGAAGCAGTTTTTCATCCGAGTTGGTCGTTTCCTCCTTTCCAATTATTACCATACGCAACTTTTTCTTCTTCTCAAAACTCCCCATGTATTTGGGTTGCTTTACTACTTACTCCCAAATTTCCCTCCTTTTCTACCATTAGTGCAGTTTAAAGGCTGACAGCAGTTATTAGACTGCTAGAATTAATACTACTGGAAAAAGGCCACATCAGCATTGTATACACTCTCCACGCTTGCCCAGAGCAAGTTTTAATGCCAAGTGGTATCACATCTCCTTTGTACTAACCACATTACTGACAGGAGCAGGAAGCGTTATGGAAAAGGCCTGTAAGAACGCACTCAGCAGGATGAGTAGCAAGACTTCTACAGGACTTTTGAAGTAAAAAAGGAGGATTGCAAAATCATACAGTTCCTCTCCTAACATGAACTGCAAGTATTGAAATGACAGCAAGAATATGTATATAAAATCTGGATTATATTTATATGGAACTCACTTCAGACCTGCTGTTAAATGCTACTCCTTGCCATGGTGATTCTGAGACAAACTGATCACTGATTTTAGCTCATGAATTTTCGAAATGTTATTTTTACCTTCTCTCCATTACGTCCAATTTTCCACACGGACTCAAACCTACCTAAACCTTGACAGAGTTTGAACACAGGAAGATTTAAAATATTAATGTATTCCAGAAAAGTTATTTTTCCTTCTTCAGGAACAGTAAAATACAGCCATAAAATTAAAATAAACTCTACTGTTCTTCATCTGCTCAGTCCGTTTCAACTTCTTACCAGAGACAGCTTACGAAACTCCTTTGTGAAACTGAAATAATCCAGTTCGTGGTTACCACAGTAACAAAAATACTCTCCCATTTTGTCTTTTGCCGTCAATGCCTGATACTGCAAAACTGCCAATATTTTCACAGAAAACAGTGAATATTAACACAACTCCAGTCACTCTCAAATGCACAGTTATCTTCCAGAAATACTTTGTCTTTTGGATAAGAGCTACAAAGACAACAGAGTGTGATCTATGATATTGGGAAAATGAGTTCATGTTAAGATTTCATATGGAAAAAAGACTACGAAGGCCTAAATTGTGTAAATACCCTGGGACTTTACTTTGTCTGAAGCGAAGCATTAAAACAAGAGTTTGCATTTTCAACTGAGATCTTCCAGCTGCTCTTCTGTGTCTAATTTTTTAAGTGGCAAGTTAACTCACAAATCAAAGGAAATGACCCCTTTGTTTAAAAAACATGGAGATAAATTTTTTATAAGAAATCTGAAAATAACACTCAAGCAATTTTCCTCTATTCCTAAGAAAAATAATTCATCACTTCAGAAACAAAATAAAGAAGAAAATTGGAGAGGTGAGCTAAATGCACATACTAAGTAAAGCAAAGGTTAAAGTTGTTCCTTGTGAATCTAGATGGTCTGTATGTGGCAACTGATACTCCATCCCCTTAAGACTGTTAGACAGCATTGCAGATTAAAGCCTCCCTTACGCCTCAAGAAGGCAAAAATGCCTTTTTTTTTTTTTTTGTCATTTGGTATGTGGGGTTTGTCCGTGTGGGGGTGTTTTGCCCCCCAGTCTCATCCTCTAACAAGCGTTAGCATCCTCTTCTTTAAAAAAAAAACAAAAGGTACTGCTTCAAGCACATGGCCAAGTGTCACCCTGCTTATACACTAATCTGAAATAGGTATTTCTAAAAGAGAGATTAAACAGTGCTGTTGCACATGTCACTCAGCTCTTACCCACAGAATTACTTTTTTTTTTCTTTCTTGCACGAAGGCTTTATTCATCCCATGATTTTCCATCCCTTCAGCTTCTTTTAAAAATACCTAGTCTCTTCATCTTTCTACAAGAGTCCCATTGCAGTGCACCGGAACCAGCTGGTCGTCTTTGAACTTGCAGTCTCTAACCCTACAGCCAAATCCCATTTGAATATTTCAAACCTCCCACATTTCTCACTTAAACAGAATGGCTCTTTCAAGTGGTGCTTGGCAGTCAAGCCGTACAGCTGAAACACTGCCTTTGTGTGGGTATCTGTACCACCCTTTCTTGAAGAACTCCCAGTCACTGAGCCATGCACCATAGCTATCACTTACGTGAAGTGATGTGGGACTGTTAACGAGAAGAGGTTTGTCTTGCTAAAGATTCACAACTGTTGACAGACAAAAATTCAAATTTAAAGAACAGCTAACCTAATTTGAAGTCTTACCAGGAAATCAGCTAGTCTTTTAAATTAAAAAACCCTGGACTTCGAGATTCAGGCACTAATATAAAATTTTATATGTTATACACAAGGAACACATTTCTGCATCGTAACTGAAAAGAAGCTTGTTTTATGGTAACCACAACACAATCTCCCAAGATTTATTCCCTAAGTCTAGCTACCAAAAAAAAAAGCCAGCAATTTTTTAAAAAAATTACTCAAACCATTCCAGTAAAATTTTTAGGAACTACTGGGATGAGCTTTCCATTAATAACCAACACAGCTACAACTGACAAACTCAGAAAGTTACCACTATGCTGCACAGTTCTCCACTGACTGCTGGAAACACCCACAGCACAGTCAAAGGACGATCACAAGCACAAGCTCCAAGTTCAGCTGCTGTATTCATAGTTTAGGAACCCAGTCAGAGCTACCGTCATTAAGGTTCCTTCAGCAATTTCAAGTTATGTTGCTTCATTTCCTGACCCAAGCAATCCCTGTTTCCCTGAAGTTCTAAGGGCCATTTGCCCTCCCATGGCTTGCCTGAATTCCCCAGTACCAGTGCGGTAGGGTTTGCTTATAAGCACTCATCATGTATCACACTGTAACTTTCTCAGAGTATCTGGGTTCCCACACCTGAAGTAACAGAAAACAAAGAAGTTTTCTTTCTCTAAACATCAATACTTACAGTTGTGACCAAAAAAAAAAAAAAGAAAAAGTAGCAATACAGAACATAAAAACAACAACACAAGGTGGAGTCTTTGTTAGATATTGACAGCTAACTTAAGAATCTCCCCATAATACCTTCACAAAACTTAGCAACACTATCCAATAGAAGGTTATTTTATAAATTTAACAAAAGGCTCTCCTATCACTTCTCTAATATGCTGGGACACTTTGCTTCAAATCACAGACATGCAACAGCTTCACACATAAATGATTACAAAATTTTAGCAAGAGCACAGTTTATTCCTTCTACCCTTATTTTCCAACAGAAGCACAGGTTTGTGGAAGCCTTCACAATAAGTCTTTGCTCAGGGTGAGCTCTGAATCCGAACTACTACAGCAGAAGATAGCACTCAACTTGCAGAAGGGCTGACAATTGACACCAACAAAACCATGGAGGACACACAATGAACCAAGATGGAAAGGCAGCTTCAAACGCCTGTATTCTTAAATGCAGACTGGGTCAGGCAAAAAATAAGGAAACTCCACAATAATCACCAGCAAGAAAAAGAACATTAGAAATATTTTCGAAACTTTTGGAAAGATACCATTAAACAACATTTTCTCTCCAAAGCTTTACTGGACTCTGCCAGCCCCAATAGTAAAAACAAATGTTAGCCTAGAACAGATATAAATGAATCAAACACCCAAATGCTTTGCTCTAATCTTAAAAAAAGAACACCCTCCCAACCTCACCTGTACTTCTAAGTGCTCTTTAACATAACCAACAACAAAACAACCAAATATTCAGTGGTTGTTTCATTGGTAACAACATTAAACAAGCACTTTACACTTCATACATATATATTTTGCTTATGTCTTAAAAGAGGTTTGCTGCAGTAAGACAAATATACTCAGCTCAGAATTATTATATTATAAAGACAATTTTGGTTCTGTTTTCAAGGAAATGCTAAAATTTAAGTATTCTTGGCATTCAGAATATATTTTGTCCATGAGTCATCTTATATTCCAGGCATCGAGTGGCTAAATGTCTTACACTCTGCCTCCACCAAAGGCCCCTCCAGAATAACTTGCATAAACACAGTTAAGCTCACATTTCAAGTTACTGTGAATACTCAGTTCCCACAAGGCTTATGGTATAATTATAAAATTCTTACAAAAGCCTGCATTTAACATTCATGGTGTTAGCCTAGAAACTATGCAGCTTTTTTGTTTGAATAACCAAGTATGTTTTATTTCTTTTAGTGTTTTACATAAAAATTATTCTATGGAGTAATGTGTGGAGCCTTACAAGAGTGCCAGCGCATTAAAATAAAAATGCAATACAGAAAGTTTCCTAGGTATTTGTGAAACTGATTTACATGACATACAAGAAACTCTGCAGAGTGCTGACAGGCACTGCTGGTCCAAAACAAACCCAGAAATTTAAGTGATCAGTAGCTCCAACTCAAAAGTCTAATATAGTATATGTTGTGCTGTTCTTCAAGGGATTTCTGCATTTTCCAATTAATATTACGTTCAAACATACACACGTGATGAAAATTGCATCCTTTGAAAATAGGAAGTTTGCGAGTAGGGGCCAACATCAGCCAAATAATTCCACAAAAAAAGCCTTTCTGGTAGTTAGGAAAACTTGCATTTCCAAAATGCAAGTTCCAAAACTAGCTTTACAAAAAGGAGAGTTATTCTTTCTCAGGCACTAGCGTGCACACACTACTCCTCTCTTCTTTGCTTTTGCTGTCAATGAACAAACAACTAAACTGAAATTATTCAGGTCAGCAGGACAGTATTTCAAAAAGTTCTTCTTACATGGAAGAGACGAAGGAACAACATGCCAAGTTTTATCATGTTGATCTCATGAAGGAGCTTTTGAATGAACAAATATCCCAAAATACCATCAAGAGTTACCATAAATTCAAATATTTTGGAACAAATGTATCAATATTTAGTTGTATAAAACAACACGCAAAAGAACATCTCCAAGCTTTCTTTCTCAAATTGTCCGACAAGACAATCTTGAATAAAACTTGCCATAGTAGCACTTTCAATTAATATAAGGCAAGATTTATAGGGAGAGAGAATATCTTACAAGACATAGCTGGAACAAACAGACAAGCTCTTCAATCCTGTCTTCCACTCTGAAACAGAAGCAGCAAATTCCAACCCAAGCTCAGGCCAGGAACAATTTTTTTGAGCTTAACTTGGTTAAATTGTCAAAGTGCCTAATTTTTTAAGAGAAAAGGATGGTTGGTCCTGTGGAGCAAAAGGGGAGGTAAGCAAGAGGAGATAAAGTTACCTATCTACAGTTTGTAATCACCCCTCCCCCAAAAAAACTTAAAACAGCTGGATTGAATTACATGAAAAATTCAAGTTCCACTAAAAAAACAGTCATTATTAAGTTGGATTTCTGATAATCAAAGGAAACCAGAATTTTCAACTCCTGTGTTCTTCCCTTTAGGTTAATTCTTACAGCTCCTCTTAGAATCACCACTACCATCAACCCCAATTCAGCATGCTAAGGTGCTGCCATATGGAAAATATAAGTATAAAAATGCTGAAAATGTTATCTTTTTAAAGATAAATTGAGGTCTACCTTGCTTATATTCCACAAATATCTTTAACATTCCCAGAAGCCAAGTGCATTAAAATTCCCAGCGTAAAAGCTCAATCAAACCTGGAGTGACAACACGCTAAACGGTTCTCACGATACATTTAAGCCCGCAAATAGGAGCTGTACAGATGGAGAAAAGCTTACGTTGATATTTTCTAATTGCAGTAGATGTACTGTGTAATAGGATTTGACGTCTTCAGATACTAGCCTCACACGGAAACCTGTTTCACTGAATGTCATAACTTCTTCTTCTTTTGTTGGCCAGTATTGTGCACACTTCACCTATTTGATTTTTTTTTTTTAAGGAAGAAAGAAAAAGAAGGGGAAAAAAATAAAAATGTGGTTAAATATCCCAGTATTTTGGGCTTTGCGTGTGCAGATTTTGAGAGCTCATTATTCAACACAGTAGACTCAAGTACCTGCTCCCAGTTTGAGAACTCTCAAAGTCTGTAATCCATAATGTTTACAGCCAAGTTACTACAACTGCTTCAATGGCTATTATGCATTTCAGCTTTATCTGTTTATGCTTTCTTTCACTGCAGGGCTAACATGTTTTGAGATACATCTTAACGCTTCTCCCTCTCCCCCCCTCTAGTTCTCTACAGGGAACTGAGACCTCTGCTCAGGTCTTTCAGCACTTCCTCCTCTCATTTCTGACATGCACACCTGCACATTTACAAAACTCTTCTATCACATCCAGTTTTCCCCAGGCTTCTTGTATACTGGAAGGTTCTGGTGAAACAAGAGGATAAGCGAACAAAGCAATGCAAACCCACCGTCTTTTATTCCTCTTGCTCTGCACTCAAACTTTCTGTAGGTAATTTTTGCACGAGAAAATAAGTGACTTTTTAAAAAACCATTCAAATCTTTTTCACTAACTAGTCTACTCTGAAGAAAAGACATAAGCTCAAATGACATGTACTTACAACTAAAATCCACAAGACAGCAGAAAATTTTTGTATTCTGCATGTATACCAACTGTTCACCAGTTCTCGGGCAGCAGTTTGTCTTCACTGTTACAGCTAACATCCCTATATAAAAATTATACTACTCTTTAGAGAAATCAATCTAAAGATACTTTAATTCAAACTTGTTTTCCCACCTTCCATTTTGTTCCAAGAGCACCTTACACTGCCTCTACTCCACACTATTTCTATCTGCATATCCTCCCTTCTCAGAATGTTACGTTCACCCTTCTGGATGTATTTTCACCAAATGGATGCTATTTTCACCAAATGAATTTTAGGTCTTAGCTCCATCACTTTAATGTTACATTCAATACACATTATGCTGTACACTGGTGAGAAAGTATGTTAGTTCTTTTAATGGAACAATTAAACACTGCTCAACTCTACTAAAATTATATGGCTTTACAACTTTAGGCCTAATGTCACTTACCGATTCTTTTTCGACAATTCTGTTCAGCATGACAACCGCTTTGGTTTGCTGCTGCCAGACCATCAGCCAAAAATGACAACAGGTATTAGGTAGAGGACCCTGTGCAGTAAAGAAAAATGGGCATGAGAACACATAGGCAAACCAATAGTTAGTAGTTCATTGTGGGAAAGAGAAAAACGTTTTCCTCTGAAAAGTTTAATCAAATTATTAATAGAATTATAGAAGTGGAAGGCAAGAAAGTAACCACATTGCACAGACCACTACAGGACTTGAAATGGTTGTGGGTTTTTTATTATTATTATTATTATTATTATTATTATTATTATTATTATTATTATTATTATTATTATTATTATTATTATATTTGGGTTGAGCATCAATACTATTGTGCTGTCAGAATTAAAACTACTGCTCAGAAGGTACAAGACTAATTAAGGGGTTAAAGTATTGTTGCAACCTATTTCCAAAAGAACCAAAGAGCAAGAAATATTTG